CAACACACACAGACACACACACACACAGACACACACACACACAGACACACACACACACAGACGAGAGATGACAACACACACACACACACACACACACACACAGATATGACAACACACACAGATATGACGACACATACAGACACACAGAGATATCACAACACACAAGGGGGAGGGGGAGAGCCAACAGACATACCATACAGAAAGGGGGAGGGACCACAGGACACAACAATACACAAGACGTGGAACAGGACAAGAACGTGGACACAGACAGACAAAAACAGGAACACAGGGAAAAAAAACATCACACAAAACAACACAGGAAAACGAGAAGGGAAAAGAGGGGGAATAGAGAAGATGGAAATAATTCAGTCATTAAAAGAGCAGCAAAGAAAGACGTCAAAATAAGACCAAAGGAAATGAAAGTAATCAGATATATGTCAAAGGTACTGAAAATACTCAAAGGGAAGAAAATCGTCAAAATATCGAAAAGTGGAAGAGTGCAGTGGATGGTGAAGTCGGGTGACAGGCAAGTGAACATGCACATACGTACAGAACATGCGACATGGGACAGGGCAGTGTTGGGGTGAGCCACACAAATAGAGCAGTGCCTTGCTGAGCTTCTACATGGAGCTACCGTGGCAAGGCATTAAGCTGGGTCTGCTGAAGTCTATACACAACAGCAGCCTCAAATACAGTGATAATGCACCATGTTTTATACAACATACAGTGTAAAGTCAAGGCCACATTCTGGTATGAAAATGCAGTATGATATCTAACTTTTAGCTACATTATATATTGGCTGATAAAAGCACTAGTATCATCTTCAGCTCTTGTTACATGCAGTGCTTATTACGAGCAAACTGTTTTACTTTATATGTTTTCCAAAGCTGTGAATGAGTTCCACACAGCTGTAGCATGTGTCTAGCATATGAGGATGATCTAGGCCTAGGAAAAATAAATGTTGTGTTTCCTGTTTCAGTTTAACAACATTAAACTTGCATGAGCACACTTCTATTTTCTATGTCCATGATTGTTGGAAAACATATTAAATATCAGATCATGGAAATATAGAAAGGGTCGATCAGCTTGAAAAATTTATGTCCCTTGCAGGGATCACAAAAATAGGCTAGAGTCGGTCGGGAAACAGGAAACACAATTTTTTCCCTAGGCCCTATGAAAACCCTAACACCAGGCAGAGCACAGCATCAGGCCTGTGTGCACGATGCCTGCCGTGAGGACGGCCTTACCTTGTCGAAGTGAGAGAAGGAGGCCCTGAACTCCTGCAGTTTCTCCTCTGGGATGCCCTTGGCTTCTCTGGTCAGGATCTAAGGAAAGGGGGTGAAATGTTAAAGAAAGGCTCTATGGCTTTCTGCTACTTATGGTCCACACCTCACTGAGTCACGTTTTATCTGCATAACATGACGTCAAGGAAGCGGTGGATCGCTCAATCCTTGACAAAGACTGGAGTTGGGCAGTCAAAAATCTTTTATGTTGCAATTACAGTTCAAACCTGTTTCAGAATGGACTTTCAACCGTTAAAGATTACTTATCATCTGATGAAATGGTAAGACTTTGGTGGTACAGTCGTAATGACATGGAATCAAAGGTACGTCCTACATGTAATTTTATTCCAGCAAAGTGTCGCCTCTTACCTGGTTCTCCACTTCGTTGATGGTCCTGGCAATGGAGGTCAGCAGCTGCTCCCAGCCAACCCTCAGAGTCTGACAAAAAAAACAAAAAAACAACAGAGGTTAGTCAAGAAGTCTTCTAACAACACATACTGTATGTAGACCAATCCAAGTGGAAAAGTCATGTCTTGTAAGCAAATATCTTAAAATTTACAGACTCTCTACCAGAAGCAATTCTACTAGCAATTCAAACAAACATTCGAAGTTTCTGCTGACAGAGACTTCAATCAGGATCTACACCGACATATACATGGACCAACTGGACAGTCTAGAGTCACAAAGTCACGAGTGCAGACTGACCTCCATGGTGTACTGTGTGTGTGTGTTTGTACAGTGTAAGAGTGTACTGACCTCCATGGTGTACTGTGTGTGTGCTTGTACATGTATACGATGTGTAACAGTGTAGAGTTAACCTACCTCCATGGTGTACTGTGTGTGCTTGTACATGTATATAGTACAGTGTAAGAGTGTACTAACCTCCATGGTGTACTGTGTGTGCTTGTACATGTATATAGTACAGTGTAAGAGTGTACTAACCTCCATGGTATACTGTGTGTGCTTGTACATGTATATAGTACAGTGTAAGAGTGTACTGACCTCCATGGTGTACTGTGTGTGCTTGTACATGTATATAGTACAGTGTAAGAGTGTACTGACCTCCATGGTGTACTGTGTGTGCTTGTACATGTATATAGTACAGTGTAAGAGTGTACTGACCTCCATGGTGTACTGTGTGTGCTTGTTCTCGAACACCAGGGACTCCTGGATGGCTTGGTTGTACGTCTCCAGCTCGTCCATGTTGGGTTTGTAGGCCATGATCTGAGCCTCCATGTTCTTCAGCTTCAGCAGGGCGTCCTCCAGAGTGCCCTGCATACAAGAGGGGGAAAAAGTCTCATCAGATGAAGCAGATCACATCTTGGACATAACTACTCTCAAAACAATGCATGAAAACTCCCACAGCTGCTTCAAAGCTCACCCACTGTCAAGTAAATCTTGCTGGGCATTGCTGGTCAAGCAAAGCAAGTTTCCCCTGTGCTTCAGCTTCTTAATCAACTGTAAAATGCTCATATTTTGGCCCCAACAGTTGGAGAAAGCTCCTTGTCTTCCTAGTTGTTAAAGTTTTTCCATCTTTAAATACATCGGTTTGAGAAAAACTTCAAAATTCATTGTTTGCATTGTAAACTAGAGTTCCACGATCTCATACCTTCGCCAAATGATGTTAGCCTTTATGAATAAGAAATATACTAATCACCCTGATTATGCAAATAGGATCCTCAATTGCATGAATTATATCAGTCTGTTGATCATATTCTCCACCAAAAGACAGTCTTATCTTAACAAAGAATGCCATTTTCTCATAAATTATGCAAATGTGGTCCTTATTTGAATAAGTTATGTTTAATTATGTTCACCTTCACTTAACTTTCAAACACCCCAAGTATGAAATTCCAGGCAGTTACCACTATGCAATTATAACATTTTCTCATTAATTATGCAAATTAAGTCTTCATTTGCATAATCGATATTTGCCTGTGTTTCTCTCGTTCTTAATAACATATGTTACAAGCTTGAACTTCCTATCATGGAATGCAGCTGATTTATAGAATTTCCTCATTAATTATGCAAATTACATCAATATTTGCATAATTGTAATATCATTATGTCAAGCATCACTTAAGCTACATACATACCAAAAATCACGATGATCCATCAATCGGTTCTTGCGTTATCCTCTTTTAAACATCTGTCCTTTAAACCCCCCTGCAGTTCTAGAGCAAGCAACTAGGGAGCTCATACTCATGTCACTTCATCCCCAGCACAAGAGCTATCTACCATCTAAATTTCGTCACCCTAGCATGTCTGGATCATGAGATATCAAAACCGGAAGTTCTGCTGCAGTACCATGACAAGCCGCTAGGTGGCCCAAAATCTAATCATTTTGAGGTCTCACCAAGACCTACCCACCTACCAAATATCAAGTCAGTCCATTCAAGCCTTCTCAAGTTATCGTGTTGACAGACACACACACACACACACACATACACGAACGCCTCTGAAAACATAACCTTCTTGGCGAAGGTAATCAGCCTGGTATGTTTACTTCATAAACTCCTATCGTACCTTTTGGGGCTATCATAGGATGCTTAGGCCTGTTTTTATTTTTTTTTCGCCCTGTCACTTCACACAAGCCTGTTTTTATTTTTTTTGCCCTGTCACTTCACACAACAAATCAAAAAGTTAGTAGAAAGCTGAGCACTGTTGAGCATTTGTTTACGTTCAACAGTCTCTCAGTTTCTCTCTATGACTACAGTTAACAACGTCCTGAATGCAAGTGTCCCACATCTGTCCTTTATTCTGGTTAACCATTGGTGCAAACCTCATGTGTCCCAGCAGGCAAAAATATCCCACAGGAATGAAAAGTTGTATTTAGCAAACAAAGAGGACTTCAAGTCGCACTCCAAGGCACTTAGATAAGTGAGAATGTATTTGACATTTAAGATGTGGCACTAGTGATGCATACCGGTTCACTGGACTTGGATCCGGACTTGTAAGAATATTTAGGTTCAAGTCCAAAAAAACCTAAAAGTCAAGAACCGAGTCCAGACTTATTACCATAAAATCCCATTTCACATACCCCTTTTCTTTCCAAACCACCTAAAACCTTCCGCAGATTGCAAAATCTTTGCTACAAAACGAGGAAAACATTGCCACCGGGCATTGTCAAGTACTGGCCTCCATGTTATGTTGCCAAAGTTTCACCCAGACAACATTGCAAGGTTGCCAACATGCAATTTTGTATATGCCATGGGTTTAGGTCCGGACTTACAAGTCCGAAACTGAACCTAAACCTCTGGACTTGAATCCGGACCTGAACCTAAAATTGGGTTTAGGTATGCATCACTATGTGGCACACAAAGTTACTACAACGCTGCCTGACCTGCATCTGCATGCCGATGGTGGCGATGGCCTCGGCCTGCTTCTCTATCCAGGGTCCGACGGAGTTGGCCTTCTGCGCGAACTGCCTCCTGAGGCGCTCGTGGTTCTGTTGTCTCACCATCTCCTGCTGCAGCACAGAGTCACGCTGAGGAACAAGGTTGTTCACGTCCTGCCACTTCTGCTTCAGTTCCTGGGAAAAAAAAAAACACGACATGGTTCGGACTATTTAATAAAAAAAAACACAGCATGAGGCTAACTTGAGGTTAAAAATCTACCACATTAAAAACTGACTTTGTTGTTCAGATCCTTCTGATTCAGTTTCTGAGGAAACAATGTGACATGGTTTGGTTTACTGGTTCGAAATGTTTTGTTGGAATAAGCCTTGCAATTCAGCCATTGTGGCTGTCAGGTTTTCCAGTGCCTTTGATACCTTTGACCCAGTGTTGGGTCATACTTCAAAGAAGCTGTTTATTGTTCATTGATTGTATTGTATTATGTGTTTTGATTATATTGTAACAAACTATCCACTTCAGGGAGACTCTTGTCTTTCCCTGCATATGTATGTTTGGTGGTTGGAAAACCAATAAAGAAGCCACATGACAAGCCTCACTGGGTCAGTCTTCTGAGGAAGACCAGATTGACTGATCAAAAGCTCTCGGTGAGAAAATTTCGTTGTGTTGGATCAAAATTTTTAACTTCAAACGTGTTTTTCAGTGCTGTGATGGTGTCCTTGATCAATGAACCAGTCTTCTTTTACTACTACTACTACTGCTGCCACTGATCTTTTTTTTTTGTCAACTCACCTCTCCTGTGATGTTGGTATAGGGGTTGATGGTGACCCCCTTCAGGTCGAGCTGCTGCACGATGCGCTGCACCTCCGTGATGCACATCATGATGGCGTTGAACTCCTTGTCGGCTTCGGGCAGGGTCATCTTGAACGCCTCGTGGGCATCGATCAGGCCCTGAGGGAACCAGACAGGGTTAGATCGGTGAAGGTTAGACATCCGGGACCATATAAGATCCGCCAAAAAACAGTTACTCAAGTGACTGGATATGCTTTTGGAAACAGTCAGACGTTTCAGGTGATTCCAAAATCATATCCAGCTGCTTGAGTAACTGTTTTTTTTTGGCAGGCATGGTTAGATCCACACGGAATCTTCATATTCTGGTGGAGACCAATCCTGACTGCCCATCAAATCAGCAGTTCAACCAATGAGAGGGTGGTAACTAGAGATTCAACCAGATAGAGAGTGGTTAAACATGTCAGTTAAACATTTGCAATTTTTGTTGTCATTTTGCATTTCTATGTACTGACAGAGGGCTTTGGGATTGGTCTATTGTAGGTCATCCTATGTGCAGGACTTAAACTACTGATTGTAAAAAACTGTTCGGATTTGGAAAAGCTACGTCCAATAATGTTCTCTGTAAGTGTTGAATCCATCTTTGTCTTGAACTCTTCAAAATGAGAAATTCGATGAGCCTGAAAAATTTTTTGCCAACTTTTGCTTTTCGAAAGTGCTCATAAGGGTCTGTATGTATCAAAGCTATCTTCCTACGTAATGGATGTATAAACCTGATGCAAAAGGTTGTGATGATCTGGCATCTATGTGAACCATAGAACTACAGTGGATGGAAGTGCTGTGTAGAAGGAAGGCAGGATAAGGTGTAGAAGGGGTAGATTTTGTTGGTGGTGTCCGTTGTGAGCGGTGCTTTGGAGAAGTTGGTGTATAACTTAAAACGAAAACTGCAACTGAGACTCTAGAAGATGGTAAAATGAATTGGTGTGGTCTACTATAGTGCAGACTACCTCTGTGCAATACCAACGTCTCTGGCCAAAGTGTCAGAGTGGGGTTAATTTTGTAAGAAGGCCAGTGCCACACCCTACCTCCTGTTGCAGGCAGAAGTAGAGGAAATCCAGAGGATAGCATACGAGATCAAAGGTTCATTATCAGTCAACAGTATCAACATGCAAGAGGGGAGAGTGGCCCGCATGCATGAATGTCCACCAGGCAAACTTAATGACAGACAGTCACATGTGTTTGTGGAAGTAGAGTGCTGAACCGTAGTACTAGTAGCTCTCTGAGTGTCTGGCATGGTAAAGGATCACCGTATTCAAGTAAAAAACCCAATACATTAGAAGAAACGAAATAAAACAGCTCCAAAAATAAGTCCATCCAACATACTACAGACATCCCACTGTGCTGTGGGAGAATCAAAATAAAGCAGCCTGAGAGAGAACGAGGCAAGACTGGATCGTTGAAAAATTGTTATCATGTGTGTAAGTTTGAAGATGCTCGAATTAGAATGCTCGTACCTGACTCCTGTTTACTAGGTCTAGCCTGGGTGCCAGACTGTTTCCAGGGCCTATACAGGCCAGCTCCTAAGCTCCAGGGCCAACATGCAATTATACCACAGCCCTTGCTGAGTCCTAGCGCGCCATGGGTCTGGCATCCAGGCTATACTAGGTCTGGTTCATGTACAATCTTATGTGAGGGGTGTAGTGTGTGATGTTTCAATGTGTAGGATATAGTAGCTAGTCCCTGTAGACAGTACCTGGATCTCATCCATAGTGTGCACGATGAACATGTCCACCAGATCCTCCTTGGCACCGTCCATCCAGTTGTTGAATGGCTGAAAAATAAATTAAAAAACATGTTAAGACAAAATTCCACACATCAACGTCTACCAACAAGTCATTTGTAAATTTCCATTTTTGTTAAACTATTTTAAATAGACTGCTTTTATTAATCTTGATGCAGTGTAGTTTACATCGAAATATTACAGTTTTACTCACAGCTGCTCTCTTGGCGAATTCCAAATGATATTGGTCCACTCTTTCCAAGATTTTCTCAGCTTCCTGGGAACAGAGAACACAAGTAGGTTGTCATAAGGCAGTCTGCTTTGTGGCATACATATGAAGGGTAGAGTATAGATATATACTTGCAGAATTTATGCCTGAGATCATATATCATTTGGTGTGAAACACAATGAAGATTGCGAGACCATAAGCAGATGTACCACTAAATCTTGACATACAGTTGCTACCCTAATGCATTCATTGATCATGAAAATTCAAAAGATTCATATCACAAGCAACTTGTATAATTACTCCTAGACATGGTGTTGCTATTGTAGACAATGACTTGACAATAGACAAGGTTCAGTTTTATGGTATGTAAGTGAAACGGTGTGTACTCACATCCAGAGCATTTCTCCTCTTCTGTGTGAGGGCTCCCAATCTGTCCCACTGGTCACAGATACGCTGAGGGGAGGGACGACAGAACAAGTCAGCACGGGTCTACGGCAGGGAGTCTGTACGGAGGTGTGAATACTGCAGTGCAAACTAAGCTGTAACTACAGCAGTGAGCTGGGCAGAAGCAACTTAGTTTGGGGTTTTGGACTCCGTAGATAGAGATGAACTTCAGGTTTTAGAAGGAGTTTTGGGTGGCAGTTCATACATGCTACCGTAGAAACCCAGGATATAATCATGCCGTAAGTTTCACAGAAAACTGTGAGGGATTCAGATGTCAGAAGCACCAAATAGCCAAATCAATCTACAATGAGAAAATTTGAGAAGCGCTTGGGAAATATACTACTAAAAGTCTTTGATTTCACCAATCATTCTGAAATAATGGGCAAAGCTTGAATCCATGCTTAGTCTTATATTTGCCATTAGCTAGAGCGTGTGTGCAGAAAGGTAAAGTGAGAGAAAGGGAAAGAAAAAGACCAAAAGAACGAAAATGCAAGAAAATGCATCAAATTCTATACAGAAAGACAGAAAAAGGGAGGAAACGAAAACCAAGCCTGTTACGAAATACCTGGCATCTAGCATTGATTGTTACAACGTCCCAGTACTCCAGATCACTGTAAAAATAAGGGGGCAGAGGTGTGAACGAGGGTGGGGTTGCCGACAGTCCTCACCCCCACACCAAGGGAGGGGTCCAGATGATGAGGGGAAGGGATATCTGATCCCTTAACAATGAAGGGGGGGGGGTCAAACAAAATGGGGGTAGGGGTGATGTGTCCCACACGAGATGAGGTGTAGGTGTCACATCCCTCCAGGACATGGCAGGGTTTGAACATGGAAGGATGGGGGAATATGCCTTGCCACTACACCATGGCTTCAAATAAGGTGCATGAGGCTGGCTGGCTGGGGGGAGGGATAGGAGTGGCGTGTGGCTGTTTGGGACAGTGCATGAGATGTGTGGGAGAGAGTATCTCTCTAAAGGGGAAAGAGGAGTTCAGAAGAGAAGGGATGGAAGACAGGTGGAGAAAAAATGTATGGCTTCCCCCTCATGCCCGCAAGAGTAGCATCCTGAACTGAGCGTTTTACATTCATTGTTAGATCAATTTGTGTTACTATCTTTTTTGCCTTAGATTAACAATCAAACAAATGGCCAACTTGATATTAATATCAAGTGAAGAAGCTTCACTTTGAAACACACTAGCTTTCTTGATTTTAATAACTTTCTGTGATTCTAACAATTAGGAAATCAAAAGGCCCATGGTCTTGTCTGGAGACAAGGTGACGGAAAGTTTTTGGACATGTTTAAAGGTTGCTACAATGGCCACATTAAGGTTGCTACAGTTGAGCTTTTGGCTACGTTAAGAATGCTACAGTTGCGTCATGAGGGAGAGGTAGTGAGGTGGGTGTGCTCAGTGCCGAGTGAGTGAGTGTGATCAGTACCTGGCATCTCTCATTCACCGCATCCGCATCATTGTACTCTAAGTTACTGCAGGGAGACAAGACATGCAGTCAGCCATGCAGCGTGCGCCAACAGGCCGGCACGTGTCCAGGAACAAACATGGCATCAAGCACACACAGGTTACACATGGTGCACAGGAACACACAGTTATATCTACAACATCACGTCCTGACTGGTCATGCAACAAACTTCTCAACACATTTTCGTAACTCATTGCTGTCAATTTCAGTAGAATTAAATTCTTGTCTTTTGCAAAGGTGCTTTTTTTGTAAACTTGACTGTGCCTTTGTTGAATAGAAACATGCTTAACCTTTGGAAAACAAAACTTTCATATGTGGACATCATCATTTATTTTAGGATTTCACATCTGCATGCACTGTATAGAATGTTTGACATACAACAGAACCACTGAAAGTTTTAATTGACAGTACAAAAACTGTTTTCCAGCCAAACTGATGCCAAGAATCAGAAGTTATGATCCCCAAACAGTTACTGCTATATCGGGTGGCGTTGGAAACCATGCTTTTGTGGCACACACAAAAATAATACTCTACGAAGCAGTGGCACTTTTGGGTGCAGTGATTCTGACTGACACACACATGTTGCATGCAGTTTACACTACTTCTGTGCAACAAAAAGTCTTCAGCGTAACAAGAACAAGATTAGAAAGATTCAGGTTTGATTTCAGACAAGGCTTCACTGAAGAAACTGATCCAAGTTAAGAAGAAATAATCATCAAAGTGCTGATCAAAGATTAGGTCCAGGAAGTGGGATATATAAAACAACACAACTGCTCACAAAAATACAAACACTGTAAAAATCACATAAGTTACAAATCACATTTTTACACTGGAATTAACTTACATTAAAACCTAACATTTAAATGAGAAAAACATCACATATTTATATCATTGGACTTTGGTGAAACAAAACTTATTGTAATTATAAGAAACCACTTAAAACACGAGAACTATCAATTACTTTATAGTCAAACGAATAATGTCACTATACACACAGTAAGGTATGTCAAAGACGGTTCGACATCCTGGAAATAAGAAAGTACACAAGGAATTCATCCGTAAATAATTTCGTCAGGTTGGTAAATGAATGAACAGCAAAGTTCTTTCATCACAACCATTTATTTTTCACGAGCCGACGTTTCGATGACCATCGATGGCAATTCTGACTGGTTTACTATAAACTGTGAAGTATGTAACACCTTTAGTGCACTATGCACCAAGTAACATCTAGCGTCAGTGCATAGTAAACCAGTCAGAATTGCCCTGATGAAGATGACAGACGGTCATCGAAGCGTCGGCTCGTGAAAAATAAATGGTTGTGATGAAAGAACTTTGCTATTCATTTACACAAGGAATTGTTTCTCAAGCAACTGGATAGATTTTGACATCAGACTGTCAGACATTTCAAGACTTAGTAGCATCCACTACCTTTCGTCAAAACCTATCCGGTTGCTTGAGAAACAATTCCTAGTGTGTACACATTGGAAGGGTCAGCTACTCAAACGACATACAAGACTGATAATTCTCATACATGATTACGAACACTAGATGAAGTCTGACATGATAATAACTTACTTTAACTCCTGCGCAATGGCAGCTATCTGCTCCACGCGGTCCTGGTGAGCGGCCAGATCACTCTCAAACGCCTCGTGCTTCTTCCTCAATGCCTGGCGGGGACACGGCAAGCATCAGTACAGGAGAAACTCTCCAGCTTTTATCATAGATCGTAATGTATTATTCTGTATCTGTGCAACCACCCTTCGGCATAACACACTAGACATTATAAGGACGAAGATTTTTGGATTACTAGTACTTTTCCATCTACCAATGATGCAGTTATCACTTTATATAACTACAAGTCAGGATTGTGCCACACAGATTTTTAAGCTTTCTGTTATCTGCAAATGTCACGAATATCGAAAAGTATGAAAAGACGTACTTGTACACTGCTATAGATCCATGCAATATGCAGCTACTAACATGTCAACATCTTTAGCGTATTCCTAAAAACTAGACCAGACTTCTGGCTTCTAACCCTACAATCAGACTGGAATATGGATGAGGAATACCAATAGTGGCCTAGTCTGGGAAGTTTTGTATAGATTTTGTGCTTGTATATAATTCTTACATTATTGTCATGTATGTTTTCCAGGGCCTCAATGTAAAGCAGTATTATGACACTGCTATGGGCCACCCTGAGCAAATATAACAGAAACAAACAAACAAGCATTGCTGTTGCCCATCTCACCTTCAGCTCATACAAGTTGCAGTTCTTGAAGTCCGTGTCTTGCAGCATGACCTCCTTGCCCTCGGTCCACTCCTCGTGGATGTCGGATTTGTGCTTGAACTTCCTGGCCAAGTGATCCAGACGCTCCAGCCTTCTCAACTCCGCAAGGAGCCACTCCTCAAACCCTTTCTCAGCAAACTCCAGCTTCTTCCATGCATTGGCAATATCCTGTGGGGGGGATGCAAACAGCAAGGTGTGAACTTTACCTTTGCCAAGGAAGTTATGTTTTCAGTGACATGTGTCCATTCTTCGTATGTGTGTCTGTCTGTATGTGTGTGTGTGTATGTGTGTGTGTGTGTTAACACGTTAACTCAAGAAGGCTTGGATGGATTGTCTTGGTATTTGGTATGTGGGTAGGTCTTAATGACACCTCAAAATGAGAAGATTTTGGGCCAACTGGCAGCTTGTTATGGTACTGCAGCAGAACTTCCGGTTTTGATAACTTATGATCTTTCACGACTGTTACACAACTGATACAAATCCAACTACTTTCTACTCCATTTCCTTGACTCTGAAGTAAAGAACTAAAGAAGTAAAGAGCCATTAATTTTACAGCGTTTGTAACATCTTATGGCAAAGCTGTAGTTTTGCTTCTTGATTTCTCTCCACGATCACTGGCAATGTTACAAAGATTACAGGCTTTCATCACAGGTAGTTACCCTGAGGGGTTATGGTTTACACTTCTTTCATCATCCCTCTGAAACACGTCTGTCCTGATATGTAGTAAAGCACGGTGTCATGCAAACTCTATCACTCACGGTCAAGTTTGAGTGCAGCGTTACTGCGCCCGTGTGGGCTATCACTACCTGATGTGAGAGGCAGGCCGTAGGTGTTCCAGGTTTGATGTGGCGCCGCACGATACGATCAGGGCTGATCTCAGTCAGGGCTCGAAATGAAAGGTGATCCAATGGCCACTGACCACTAAAATTTAGGCTGGGACAACTAAAAAGACACTTTGGGACATCAGAATGTCAGCCCTTCTTTCCTTTATAGGGCACACGTCCCGGCTTTTGGATCTGAAAAGTCCCCCTGAATTTCCTGTCTACACTGCAATTATAGTGCGCCTGGGAGTCAGAACATAAGCAATATAAAGTTGACTTCAACTTGAAGTCATACAATATTTTAAAAAAAAAACAGGTTGGGACAGTTCATCCTCACTTCGGGACAATTGAAATTTATTTTTGGGACAGTGCTGGGACAATAGGAAGAAAAGTTAGTTTTGAGGCCTGTCACTGGACATGTTTTACACTTCTCCCTCCCCATGAATGGACATGATAAAGCCTCTGTGTGCTCGCGTGGATCACTATCTACACAATCTGAATAAGCTTCACTGTGATGGATCCCTGCAAACCCTGTAGCTGATACCCACTGGGGTGATTTTTGTCTCTTCCTGTTTAATGTGAGGAATAATCGGGCCCTGAGCACCAGAACATACAGTTGAATGATCACCTGTGGGTTCACTTGGGCCAATTTATCTATTACCAACTAAATTTGAAATTTGAAAAGTTTGTCATTAGCCAAACATTCTGTTATGTAAAAAATGGAAATGTAATAAGTAGAGCACATACAATGTTACACACTTGTTTTCTTTTAAAATACTATGTAATGTAAATGTTTTTTTTTTTTTAATGTAATTGTATGTGATGTATTGTCATGTCTTATGTACCCTCTCCTGGAAGAATAGCTGCCACCCATGGGTGGGCAGCTAAAGGAGAGTTTTTCCTCAATAAACCTCAATAGTGCTGCATACCTAAACCCACATTTAGGTTCAGGTCCGGATTCAAGTCCAGAGGTTTAGGTTCAGTTCTGGACTTGTAAGTCCGGACCTAAACCCGTGGCATATACAAAATTGCATGTTGGCAACCTTGCCATGTTGTCTGGGTGAAACTTTGGCCACATAACATGGAGGCCGGTACTTGACTGTGCCTGATGGCAAATGTTTCTTCATTTTGCAGCAAAAATTTTGCAAATCCACGGAAGGTTTTAGGTGGTTTGGAAAGAAATGGGGTATGTGAAATGGTCTTTTATGGTAATAAGTCCGGACTCGGTTCTTGACTTTTAGGTTTTTTTGGACTTGAACCTAAACATTCTTACAAGTCCGGATCCAAGTCCAGTGAACCGGTATGCAGCACTAAACCTCAATCTGAGCTGCTTACCGCGACCATCTTCCCCTCAGAGGGCATGTAGGCCGGCCTGTTGCTGAGTCGCAGCTTGGTCTGCAGCGTGTTGAAGATGATCTCCAGCTTACTCTTGTCCTCCAGCTTCGGAGGTTTGTGCTTGCGGCGGTAGTCTCTGAACTCCTCCAGTTTGTGCTAGAAAAAATACACAGGGCATGATGAGCAGCTTGTCTCTCCAAAATTGTTAGGCAGACTTTTTTCTAAACTTCTAACATTTAACACATTATAGACCATGTTGAGCCTACCACATGCAAACTACGAATACCAAAAGAAACAGTTTGTGCTACAAAAAACACACACATGGGATCTTGTCTCTTTGAAAACCTGTAGGCAGAGCTTTTTTTAATCCGTTCTAACAGATCACGTATTAAGCTCTGATGCATGTAGAACACACATATCAAAAGGTGAACGAATAGCTCTTGGTTAATAAATGTTCCAAGTCCATCAGAGGAAACAACCCAGTTCAGTCTTTCTAACTCTCACATTCACACAAATCAAGAGTGGCGACAGCTGGTACACTTGTTAACAGTTGGCACTTGCCAAAAAACAGTTACTCAAGCAACTGGATATGATTTTGAAAACGTCAGACGTTTCAGCTAGTATCCACTAGCTTTCGTCAGTGACTGAGAGACCAGAGGGGAAAGCAGGTTTATATACACAACCTGTTGATTGATATGCAAATAAAGTGAAGACAAATTTTTTGGAAGTCGAAAAAGGAACAAAAGTCAGACAAGTCTTGGCACTTGCTCTGCCTGCACTATTCGTAAGTTTGCTTCATGTTTGTTGTGCTGCCCTTGGTTCAAAGATATTCAAGTCCCTGTTCCAATCCATTGGATGAAACTATTTTGGTCTTGTCATTTCTAACTTCAAACTACCACATCAAGAGCAGGACACTTCAGTAAACCATAGGTACACATATTCTACAATATTTGTAAGTTTATTTCATGCATTCAATTAACTTCTGTTGTTTCCTCACCTGTTTGGAGGAAACATTTTCTTCTTTGCTACTCTCACAATGCAACATCAAGAGCTGGCAATGTCAGTTACCAGTCGGTAAAAAAATATTCTACACTATGTGTAAGTTTATTTGATGTTTGCCGTTTACTTCTGTAGTTGCCTTACCTGTGTTCCTGGCAGTGTGTTGTCCCTGGTCCTGTTCTCCAGCCACGGGATTGTCTTACGAATCCACTCCAGCAGCTGTGACGGACAGAATGTACAGGTTTATACAGAGAGAAGCTACTTTATTTTATTTCATTTTATTTCATTGTTTCAGCTGTACAAAAGACAGCCAGGGTTGCCCAGCTAGTTGCAAGACACTATTTTTAAGGGCTAACCCTGGGGACAAGAACAACAAGCTACATAAGATAAGGACAGGACATTAAAATCAAAGTCGTCAACTCATTTACATGTACAGGATTGTATATCTATGGATACACAAAAGCTTAAACTAAGGAGCACTGTTAAAAATACTGATTACATTGGAAGGTCAGGGTCAGAATTCAATATGTATGGATCTCCAAGTGGTCTGGATTTTAGTTTTGAAGGAGGCAATAAAGAGAAGCTACCAAGACAAAGTGCTGCAATGTAAGAAGTAGCAGTGACCTGCATTAAAGACACCCCCACTCCAACCCAACCCATCAAAATTACTCCCCTAATCTCTATAAACCCATTCCTTAACCAAATCAAATCAACAGAGACCCAAATGAGATGTCCCGTCTGGTGCTGTACAGAAAAAGTGATTACTTTTAAATCTAATTACGGCATATGAAAACTACAGACGTAATATCATCCTGAAATGTCGACAGAACCCTTAACAATACCTTTGTGTAGATCAGCTATGCTTATTATGCCATGGGTTTCACACAAGCGCAGCAAGTTCTGCCGATGTGCTACAAAAAGCATACACTGTAATTCCTGATTTTTTCCCGATACTTTCATGTAAGTTCACAACTTTCACAGTCACTTCAATACCGTTAACAAATAATTCCTCTACTTTCTTTTTCCTGCACCAGCCACCATCATGAACATAGTTCTGTGAACATGTCCATTTTTCTCAGACCACAAACTTTTGCTACCATTAACGTAAAGTGAATTACATTTTCATGTTGTAAATCTTTTATTTATTCTATCTCTTAAAACTCACATCAGACGCCAGCCTCTCGTATTCCTCCATCAACCGCTCGTTCTCCTGGTTGACCCGCAACACCTTACAGATGCGGTTGGCTGCAGTCTCAGCCTGCGAGAGGAAAACCAGATAGTTGTAGCCTTGTGAAGGTAAACATTATAATGGATAGATATTAAAAACAGTGAGTGGAAAATCAGGGAGCTATTGGAAGGCTTACATCTTGTTTTCTCTATACAAACCACAGTAACATAATGGTATTTTCGTAATAAAACCCAAACTCAATGAGACTTATACAACAGTATTACAAAACGAATCTTCACCTTATGGAAATCATGTTAAGATATTGGCCACTTTTTTTTAACTTGTTCACATTTATTTAAAGAGGCTTGGAGTCGGACAAAAGCAAGTATGCTTATACATTATAGAAGCCCTCTCCTCAAGAACTTATAACAAAATTAATATAAAAATAATACGTTTGAAACAAACATAAGAACAGCAACTTTTAGCAGTTGAAAGCAGGATATGTGCTAAATAAACGAAATCGCGCAGCTTCTCTTTCCCATATTTGGAATAGCAGTGTAATAAAGATGACTATAGGTTATGAGCTGTAGCTTACCTTCTGCAGGCCGGAGAAGGCGTGGTAGTAACATGACACGTAGGTCATGATGGCCTTCTCATCAGGCCTGGCTGTGTTCACAATGTCTGTGGGAGGGAAACAACAAATAAGGACCAAGCACAACTGAAGAAATCCTCAAAAATACAATTGAGACAAGCCCAACGTGCACATCTGACAGTTCTCTTTTCGCACAACATAAATATAATAGTCTACAGCATCACTTTTTCTTACATTAATGCTGGATGCTTTAGTCGCTTATTTTAAATCTACTTGTGCAGTTTTCAGTCTTCAGACTGGCAAACGTCTTCATGTATCGTGTTCAATCTTCATTCACTTACACTTACAGCACTGTCCAAGACTCTCTTACAGTTACTTGAAACTTAATTTAAGCATACTGACATCCCCCATGCCTACATGTAACATACATGTACTTTACTTTGAAGTAGGTTGTGTGATCCACACAAAAATGCAGACGAGCAAATGTTCGCACAACGTTATGCCAACATCGATGCACTTGAAATGAAATATGTGCACACATATATAAAACGTAAGTAAGATATGAAGAATGCAGAACTAGAGAAGAATGCAAACTAAGTGTTAGCTCAGATGGAGCGGCTGTTACTGTGTACCTTCTGCGTCAAGCATCTTAGGTATGTCCAGGTATTTCTCTGCTATTTCAAAGGCAAGGTTGAGGTTTCCGATAGGATCGTCCTGAATGGAGGGGTGGAGAGATGAAGCACACGTGTGAGGGGAAACAACCAAGGAGACACAAAACAAGCTGCACAGGCTTAGGAACGACTGACAGGGTCTTTCTGTTTGTTTCATTTTCCATGTATGAAACCTTTACGTGCCCAAAGACACATGAAAAGCAGGTCACAGACCTGAGTGTGATCTACTGGTAAAATAAAATAAAATAAATGAAATTTGTGCGTCAATGAAGGTTAGACATCCAGGTAATAAGATATGCCAAAACAGCAGTTACTCAAGCAACTGGATATGATTTTGGAATCCAGTTGCTTTGAAATTGTATCCAGTTGCTTGAGTAACTGCTTTTTGGCGAATGAAATTTGTGTACTTTTGTTTTCAGGAATGATTCTAATACTAGCAATTTGTAAGGTTGTCATTGGTAAGCCTGTGCGTGTGCTAGGACTAAAACACCAGACGAGAGGCGAGACTATGTGCCCCACAGCTAGGCTGTTCTACAGCGAGTAGACCAGCACACAGAGACACCAGCAGCGGCAGGCAGCAGTGATGGGGTGCGTGGAGACCTGTGAACACAAAACTGCAGCGGGCAGAGGTGGAGAGAGCGAGCGCACACGAGGGAGCGAGCGAGCGCCATGCGACGAGCGTCAGCCTGCCCACCTACCCTCGGGGTCCAACATCCGCGGGATGTCCAGGTGTTTCTCGGCCGTGTCCAGGGCCAGGTTCAGGTTGGTGTAGGGGTCGTCCTGCCATGCAACATGCAGGAAGGACCATGCAAAACGGGAGGGAGAAAAACCGGCCAGTTATAGGCTGTGTGCATGTCACATTACCAAACATACCGGCCAGTTACGAGGTCTGTACCCGTCACATTATGATACGGCCAGGGAGGGTACGTATTGAGAACACTGATGTAAAATCAAACATTTTCTAAGGTGGAATGTAAAATTTGTAGTGTAAGTGAACATTTTTTTTATTCCAGCCTACAACACCCCACGAAAGAAATAATTTTTCTGCTACTCATTTGCTTTTGAAGAACTATAAGACTAAATTTTCCCACGGCTGCACAGAAGTGTGACAGTGATAATTTGATATTGTACACCAGTATTCTCTTATGGTACCTCCCCTCCTTGCATAATTGTCTGACATCATCAACAATTACTTTGCAATCAAGCGTCATCATCATGAAATCGTGATTACTTGTTTCGTAATAGATTTTCTTCATTCTGGGCACGGCAATCGTCTGTCTGATTTATGTACATCATCAGCTTTCATCAAGCGTTAACATTCAAGTCATGTTCACTACTAGTACTTCACGTAGCCCCAGAGGTGGCTGAAGCCTTGTTTGTTTGTTTGTTTGTTTGTACCGACCTTCCTGAGCTCATGGTAGTTGGGGATCAGCTCGGGCCGATGTCTGTGGATCAGGGCACAGAACGCCAGACCATCCTTCCAGCTGGGGACAGAAGAACACATGTTAGTTCAGCTGTAACATACATCCTAGCATTTCTGTTTATGTTCAATCTAGTATATGTGTATATAGTAGAGGGGATTCATTCCTCAAGCTAACCAACATCTTGCACACGCAGTCGTCCCTCAGTAAGTCACCTGGAGCCGCATAGTTCCTGTTTAGAACTTTTATTCAGCCTGTTTATGTTCTAGTGTTTTTTTATTTTTATTTATTGTTTTGGTTGTTCAGCACGCACAGCCAGAGCAGCCCAACTAGCCTGTGGCTATTGCAAAGGGCCAGCTCTGCTGACAAAGACAAGACATTATAATGGAACTTGACATGTTTAGTACAATGTATAACAATCTATACTAGTAACACTGTTACTCTAAGTACATAAAAACATTGTATATAAATAATCTATACAAAGTGTTCTAGTTGTCAGAGGTTATGACATTTCATAAAATGTAATGCCCTTCCCAAATCACTATTGACAAATTTTAACAAGGTTCCCTGTACTTAAAGATCATTTTTTAATCATTTTGTACCACCAAGATTTTGCCAGGTATGAAAATCCATGAAATAATCAGCTTCCACACAGTGGGCAGAATGTACATAACTACAAAAACACTGCCCAACAGGTCTTCAATATTGATGAGGATGGCTGAATCATGATCAGGTGACAAGCACCAAACCTCCTGCTCATTGCAGCTCAATTGTCTGCCAGCCTCGTTACAGCAGCAATTAAAGTGGCCTGATTAATGGCAGATTCCCTCTGCACAGGGCACAGTCAAATCAATACCAGGGTTTTTTCTAGAAAAATTTAGCATGAGGGAGCAGATCACTACATGTAGCATGGCATTGGCAAGGGAGCATTTAGCACATTTTTACAAGAGTAACACAGATTGTAATGCTAGAATTATGACATTTTCTTTTTCTATTTTTACTGGAAAAAGATCAATTTGAGAAAGACTTAATGTTGTGTATGTAGCCACTTAGGGTTCAATCTGAAAATTGATATGAGGGAGCTGGCTGGTTGTATGAGGGAGCAGAGCCCTTATTCCCCAGTTTAGAAAAACCCCTGAATACCCTTCCACTTCCAGGCTCGAAATCCTTTTTTCTGCACACCTGCACCAGACAAATTCTGCCTGCACTACTCAGAATTTGGGAAGTATGTATCATACTGACTAGTGAGACTGTTCAGAAACAATTGCTGTAATTTACTTTATACTTCATACATAGTAAACTTAAATGCAGCAAGGAAAGATCGTCATACATGTACATATAAACCCAGCACATGGCCCAGTGCAGGTAGACATCCGAAATAACTCGACAGCTGCAATTTTACCTTAGTAAGCAGGTGGTATTTAATTCCGAGCCCTGCACTTAGCCAGGTAGTAATAGTGTGTCTAACGCTTGACTAGCAGGAAGGATGCTGTAACATCACAGAGCAGACATTTTTCTGACAGTCTGGCTAACTGTGGGGTAATTGCTGTCTACCAGCAGGCAGCTCTCTTTTTGCAAATGGTTTCCTTCATCAGAGCTGCTAAATCTAATTGCTGAGCTATCAGGGCCATCAGTTAAGACTCATCTGCATATAAACCAGGCGTGTCTGCTATCTCTCCACTGCAGTTGGAATACCCAAGAGCAAATTTGTGCTGCTATCCTGATGAAATATGTATCAGCACTGTGGCTGAAACTGAGTTCGATGGTACACCCACTCTCAGCTTCTGAGTCATTAGTGTATGCCGGCATCAGTTAAAATTCTCTAAGGTTGATTATTTAATAACTGATTATGTAGCTTATGAAAGGTCTGGGATATCATTCATATAAAACAAATCTAATATGTAAGAAGCATTTCATGATGGAAGCTATTCTGGGGAATGTATTTTCAGGAGGACACGGGTAAAGCATCCTTTTCAGATTGGATGGCCTCCTGCAGAAAATTGAACAGTTTACTGCACCTATTCTCAAAATGGTTAACATTGTCACACATATCAGGCTTCTTTGTACGATGTCGTCCTCAACTGCATCATTCTGCTATAGGCTGTCTGACAATACCTTCCAGGCAAAGGTTTAGCTTTTGGCTTCTTTTTATGCATTTTACGTGTTTTCACCTGACTTTATTTTTACTAGCCTGTATCTTTTTTTTTCACCAGCCCAACTTTGGTGGGGTATTAGATACAGTCCAACCAATTTGATACTGTCTTGTAGACACCAAAAAATCTGATTTTAAGAAAAGTCTGACAAATGAAGCCATGATATGTTAGACCCAGTCAGACACATGTAACCACACTCGATTGTAACACTTTAACAAAGACTTGTGCTAGCCCTTATTGTTTGAGTAATTAATATAATATGTTAGGTTTTATTTTACATTACGTCTATTTCTACACGTATTTTACTTGTATGTTATTTTTGTTCTTTGCCATACATTGTACCATGTGCAATTGTCATGCAAGAAAGTTCTAATATGTAACCTCACCTGGTGTGGAAGTTCTGGACATTCACATTCTTGTACGGCGCTGTTTTCCTCTGGCACCAGAGGAGCAAGCCTTCCTTGGAGGAGCTTTCTGTGGAGACAAAAACACAAAAATATCATCAACACTGACTGCAGGTCACAGCAACAATACAAGTCATACTTGTCCAATACAATACAACACATACATTCTTACATCAGCTCCATAGATAGTGATTTTCTAGTCTCCACCAGGCCTTCCTACAGGGGTACGGATCGTAGAATTCGGCAAAAAAAGGGAAAATAATTAGCCAGGAGAGTCAGTCTGCGGGAGGATTTTTCCCCCAAATGAAGGCCACGGTGGCCAAACTCCCCTGGCCGATTATTCTCCCTATCTGGTTACATTTTACTGTTTCTGAACCTGCATTATCAGTCTGGTCACTTTGGTGGAGACTAGTGATTTTCCCCAGATAGCCGATGAACTTCCAGCCTGGAATATCCAAACTTCCATGACACATGTCAGTGGTCGAAATACTTTTTTTCAGTGCTCTGCAATATTGCAGAAGAGTCAAAATTTTGTTCTGCAATTTGGAAGTACTTTCTGCAAATACACAAGCCTCCATACTACAATCTTGCAGGTTTATAAGCATGAAATATTGATTGATATGCAAATTAGTGAAGACAAATTTTTGGAAGTCCAAAAAGAAACAAAAGATAGACAAGTCAAGACAAGGTTGATGCAAATTAGTGAAGAAGCTCCTGTTGTTTCAGAACAGGAGCTTAAGTGTTGTCTGTCCTTGGGGCCCAAGAGTGCCTAATCCCAAGTGACAATTTTTCCTGCTGCAAAATTGCAGATTGTATAAATTTTTCTTCTGCAATCTTGAAAATCTATCTGCAGATTGCAGACTGCAGACAGGTATTTCGAACACTGCATGTACAACAGGTGGTCACTTCCATCTACCTTCCCAGGCCCCTAAGATTGAGTTGAACAAATTGCTACCAGCATGATATTATTTACAGGTTCCAGGGCTGAGTTAGTCACCCTCTTTTTATCACTACTCAGAAATTTATGGCATCAAATCATCTTCTGGCAAAGACAAGAATAGGATACCTTTCTGTCAGGCTCTATATGTGTAGTATTATATTTAAAAACGGAAATCTGTCGCTTTCTAAAATATAATTACAAGATACTAGTATTACACAGGGTAAAAACCCGGATTTCAATTGAAGCCTCAGAAGTCAGATATGCAATAAATGCTCCTGCCCTTTATTCCAACAACTTTCCTGAATACATTGTAATTTGATGAATGTTTTCCCTTTTGGCATCTAAAATGACTTTTCCATCACAATTTCTAATACAGGAAATCCTGCATGAAGCACTGCCAAGGAGCCAATGTAGTCATAGGCCCAGGACATTGCCTATTTGTTTATGACATTGTATTCTTCTGGATACATATCGCCAATTACATTGCCCAGTCCTGCCTATACATTCTGCCACAGCAGAAACAATCCCTTCCCGGCGCAGGGAGCTGCGTTGTGAGAGGAATGAGAAGTGACCGGCATAAAATGAGCAGTAACTGGAGATGGATGTGGCGTTGGGCAACAAAAACCAATCAGCAGCAGGGTCGGCCCCGGCAGAATGGATCATCTCAACACGTATTCACCCCGCGTCCCAGCAGGCCCTGGGAAAAAATTCAGTGTTTCCTGCTTCAGTCCTGAAAAAATTTGGGTCGGTAGGTAGGGATTATCTTTTTTTTTTCTTTTTAGACTTTGGCAATCTCTAGTGATCTAACTTAGAAGTTTATCAACGTAAAACCTGTATGAGGAGAAATTTTCAATGTCAATGCTGGAAAACCGATTGTACGTTTCATCACCCAGGTGTCAGATCATGGAGCTAGAAAGGGTAGATCAGCTCGAAAACTTTATGTCCCTTGCAGGGGTCCACACACAAAACAAGGCTGGGGTCGGCAGCTTTTTCTACGGTCGGTGGGGAAACAGGAAACACGTAAATTTTTCCCTGGCCGTACAGCCCGCTCCATCATGTGTAACAGTAGCTGGAGAGCAATTCCAGGCAGCGGTGTATGGATTGGTTTTGATATGAGCCTGTCAATCGGCGGGGGAATCTTATACAAGTTTCAGCAACCACTCAAGAATAACACTTCAGGACTTAGAATTGGATTCCCCCCACTTTCCCAGAATCAAGCATTTTTCTCACGATCAAATAATGATATATGTGCACGCTGTGGTTCTCATCGTGTACTGTACCCTTGACCCTTCCGAAATTTCTTACTACAGGACCTTTGATCAAATTTCACTTCTGTGAGGAATCGAAATACGATAAGAACTTTCATTTCAACGTTAACCACACTGGTGCAGGTATGCAGAAAAAAAATGTATTTCGGGCCCTGCTAAAAACCATCCCAGACAGTGGGATGAGAGCTGTGCTCTGTAACTAATGCCAATCTAAGTGCAAGCCTAACACCTCTTTAATAGGGAATCATGAATCACAGACAGCAGCCAATGTTGATCGATGGTTCCCACTCACCAGCCGAGGTGTGTGCCGGGCATTCTGCCTGCCAGGAAGAACAAGTAATGAAATCCTCTTTGTTTGGTAATTGATGGCTCTTGATAGTTCTTTCAAGTATAATTTGTGTTCCAATTACATGTCTGACTGCAATTTCCGCCACCAATTCAGTGTGATAGAAGCGTTTGGCAGTAAAGGGGCATCAAAGTGTCACAGAGCCCGTCCCAACATCCCTGTTCAAGTTAAAGGTATTCTTTCCCTAGCGTTTTGGATATCTACAAAACCTCATTTTACAAACACTGGTCACATAACAGGGCTTAAAAAAATACTAGGTTCATGTGCACCTTGGTGCACTCAAAATTGCAGCTGTGCACCCAATTTTTATTCTATGGGTGTACCAGTGCACCCAAATGTTTTTGTCACAAAAGGACCTAATCACTGCTCACATTTCAGTAGGTTTTGACAGGATATCCTGGAAGTCATTTGATAACAACCAGCACCTTTACAGCTTCAAACTGTATATTTCAAGTAAAACCTTCAATATCGATGCATGTTTTTTAACCAAAAATGTTCTATCCTGAAAGTCCAATCATTACACCTACTTCTAGTTTTATCTCTCAGGCCATTTCAGTGCCCACACCTGCTGTAACCCTCCGTAACACGTCCTGCCTCCCTACAACAGCCACTTCATCACTCTGGAACTGGGAGGCCTGGGGGCAGGATCTGTCAGCTGCTTTCACTACACTAATTCTCCAACAAGCAGTTAAATAATCAGGCGTGATAAGCCACATCCGTGTTACGTTCCCTTTGAAACAAGTACAGGTAGCGCTACTTTGATGGAAGCAGTTCGATACAACTCAAGCTTTTTGACGGATGACTTCAGAGTTTGCGATACCGATCAGTTTTCTGCAGAGATTAATAGTTTTGACTTTGAGCTTTACTTTCCCATTCATGTGACACCGGCCAGCGCACCCTCGGCACATAACTCACATGCTTATCTGTCGTGATTAATCCTAACCAATGCGCAAGGCTTGGAACTATCTGTGATTCTCGGCTGGCAATAGACGGACGTCAGTTCCAGACGGCCAGCCACTCGAGTCATGTGCCACCAGAGCAATTCGCTCGCAGGTGGAGTAATATTTTCAGTCAGCTGCAATAATACGATATCAAAGGATATCGTTCAGAATGCTAAACGAAAGACAGCAGCAATTTTGGAGGTTGACGTAGACGTGCTGCTCATATCCAGCCTTCCTGGCGTCAGAACCAGCGTCACGGGACAGGCGGAATTACACCGGATGCCAAGACAAGGGCAGTTTGGCATATTTGGACCTGGATTCGTAAGGCTATAACCATTGTGGACAAAGCTGTGATGGAGCCATTCCAGGCCCACCTCTATCCAACCACCACAAGGTGACCCCACTGTTCTGAACGGGTGCCAAATCTCAAGCCTCGTAAAAGAAGGAAACAAGACTTGTGGACAGACGTACCTTCAACACTGATGTCCTGGATAGCAAACCTCAGGATGATGGTCCAGATCATACCAAGGGTCATCTTCGTATTGCCATCAACAATTTCTAGGGAGGAAAAAGAAAATATCACACAACATTACAACAATGTAAACACATCACAACTTCTGTGCTGGCAGCTGGTACTTTTTTGGATGCTAAGAATTAAATCTCTTCTCATAAATACATCAATAACCAATAACTATGGCAGTGAAGAAGGAAATCTAATAAAGATTGGCTGGCTCACCAAAACTGAATTACAAGTGCGGATAAATTGTTTAAGGGCTCACAGTTTGCAGGGTGAAAATATGTATCGTATTGGAAGTTGATAACATGAAGTAAGTTGGTAACAACTCAGTTGCTTGGCTAATTTTTACCTTCATAAGAAGGCTATGTTTGGTAGCGTTTGCGTGTGTGTTTGTGTGTCTATGTATGTATGTTGAAGAAGCTAAGGATGGATTGTCATGAAACTTAGTAGGTGTGTAGGTCTTGATGAGACCTCAAAATGATTAGATTTCTGCCTCCCTAGCGCTTGTTTTACAAACACAAGAGAACAGAGGAGCGAATTTTGGCACCTTCTGAGACTGGAGTTACAGTTTAAACTTGCTTCACAACTCTATTGTTTAAATTTTTACAAATACAGTTGAAAGGAAAGCGAACTGTGTCACCTTCAGCTCCGATGGAGACGAGCTTGACGCCCTTGCTGGCGATGAAGTCCAGGGCCTTGTTGACGTTGGCGATCTGATGGAACCTCAGCTTGCCCCGGTCGGGCTTGGGCAGGCGCTCGCCGGAGATCACCTCCAGAAGAAGCATCAGTTTCAGTCCATTCCTGAAGTCCTCGGCGATCTCCTCGATCTGAGTGCCGGCTTTTCTCAGGTGGGAGTTACACCAGGCTGTGAACGTCTGCAGGACGGAACAACACAAGTCAACAACATGCACCACAACATGCCTGAAGTAATATTCAAACACAAGTAGTTACATCTGTACTTTAAAACATTAAGATGACTTTCACTTTACTATGAACCGCTGTTGGCAAGAGGGGCAGGTTCCTAGGGATTGGCAGGAGGGAGTTATCGTGAAGCTTCCGAAGAAAGGAGACCTCTCCAACTGCAATAACTGGCGGGGAATCACTCTGTTATCTATCCCTGGAAAGGTATTCTGCGCAGTACTCCTCAGGAGGTTGAAGAAAGCTGTGGACTGCCTGTTAAGAGAGGAACAAGCTGGTTTCCGCAGCAACCGCTCCTGCACAGAACAGATATTTACCCTTCGAAACATCATCGAACAATGCCTGGAACACCAAACACCGTTAGCTTTAAATTTCATTGACTTCAAGAAGGCGTTTGACAGTATCCACAGAGAGACCCTCTGGAACATTGCACTGTCATACGGAATACCAGCCCGATTTGTCAGGATCTTTAAGAGCCTCTATGAAAACTCAAGGTGTTGTGTGAGAACGGAGGGAGGGACAACAGACTTCTTCAACATCATCACAGGGGTCCGACAGGGTTGTATCCTCTCCCCCTTCCTGTTCCTGATCACAATTGACTTCGTCTTGAGGAAGACCACTGGAGACGGGAAGGAGGGCATTAGGTGGAGGGAAGAGTCCAGACTTGCGGACTTAGACTTTGCAGATGACCTTGCTCTGTTGTCTGAGAATAACCAAGGCCTACAGCACCTTACCACGAAGCTGGAGACCTCTTCTGGAAAAGTTGGGCTACGGGTGAGTTCTGAGAAGACCAAGGCGATGGAGGTGGGAAACCACACAGGTCAACCTCGACTGAACATCACTGTCAACAACAGCCAGGTAGAGGTCGTGGATCAGTTTACTTACCTTGGGAGTGTCATCAGTAACAGCGGAGAGGTAGAGCCTGACATTAACTGTAGGGTGGGGAAAGCAGCTTCTGTGTTCCGACGGATGAACTCCATCTGGTCAGCAACCACCATCAACCTTGACACCAAGCTCCGACTATACAACAGTATTGTCCTACCCACTGCAATCTACGCTAGCGAAACCTGGAAATGTACAGCTAAAGCATCCAGAAAGCTAGACGCCTTCCACCAGAGAAACCTGAGGAGGATACTGAAGGTGAGGTGGCAGGATCACATAACGAACGATGAGATCCTGAACAGGGCCAAGTCCAAGCCTCTGAGTACCATCATAACAGAGAAAAGGATGCAGCTGGCAGGACATATCCTCCGTCTGCCCAGCAGAAGGCACTCTAAGACAGCGATGACTTGGGTACCCCACAACGGCAGAAGAAAGAGGGGAAGGCCGAAACACACCTGGCGCAGGACCTTCCAAGACGATCTAAGAAGGGCAAACATCCCCTGGGAGGAGGCGGAGACAGTGGCCGCTGACAAAAAGAAGTGGAAGCTTGCTGCCCGATGTGCCATTGGCACAGGAGGAACTAAGGTCTAAGGTAAAGGTCACTTTACTAGATACAACTTTTAGGTAAAACAAATATTATGTATTACTTTGAAACTTTTATTTTCATACTGTTCAATTACCTTTTGTATGAAAACAACGATGCCAAGTTCTTAGTTATTTGGCATTTAGACAATATCATTTGACTTCCAGAAAGCCGTAAAATGTGACATTTACTTCCAACTAACATATACGCAAGAAAATGATAACTGATGACGACTTTGAACAACTCCTTGAATCAGGGGCCCACTATTAGGAGTTTCTTGGCAGATAGCCTTGGCAGAAATTTGACTAGAATGTCATGTAGTGCACCAAACATTTTCTTAATGTTGGTGGATAAACTAGCAGGGTGTGGTAACTGGTTCCCTGGTCTATTCTTCACCTTTGTGTCAAAATGTATCAGGACAAGGTGTATAATTTTTACTAGAGGTGACTCTACATATTGCAGAAGTGACCTGTTACAACTCAATCTAACGTTTAAGAGCCTCCATTGCTACCCTTGGGACTGGCAATAAAAGCAATACTTGATAACAACCAGCACCTTTACAGCTTCAAACTGTATATTCCAAGTAGTAAATCTACAGCATCGATGCATGTTTTTTATCAAAAATTTTCAGAGGGAATGCTTAACTTTCGTATAAATTATGTATATGTTCTTTGTCTCAAGATTGCAGTGTGTTAACCCATGTCACCTGTTAGTCTTCTATTTTCAATATTTCTGTGTTGTGATGTACTTCTATTTCTCAAGTTCTTTAGCCCCACACACCACTATTTAACTTTGATACAGTGTAACATACATTAATTATTTCATACCTGACAATAACAGAGAGTTTGGATTTATACCTTTCCTAATGAAAGTCTGACTCCAGACAAATTTTCCAGAGACCCAAACACCCAGAAATCCCAGGAATGCCTCTGAGCTGTGATATTGCATGTTAATCAAACATTTGCCTGGAAATCACACTTTGCTATTTGTACAAGTTGTCAATCATACATCACAACAAGTTTCAGTAGCTCTGCAAGTCTGTAAATGTAATAAACCATTATCAGGGCTGGAAATGCTGGGTGCATGTGCACCTTAGTGCACCCAAATTTGGAACTGTGCACCCAATTTTTTTTCTGTATATTTTCATAGGTTTACGTATGTAAAGATGTCACACGAATAACAGTATATTCATAAGTGTCAGGAAACATTATAAAATAATTATTTTAGTACTTTTCTTTACAAATGACACAAAAATAGATTTTGCTAATATTATACTTATTCTATGTTTGCACCCAGGAACATTTTTGTGCACCCAATTTTTTAAGTTGGGTGCACCAGCGCACCTATTCCCAAAACTGAATTTCGAGCCCTGATTATTGTTATTGTTATAGTTCATAATGTGCAGGGCCTGGATTTTGGAGGCCTCCCCAGCAACGCAGTAATGGCCCTCGACACTGTCCACCAAGGCCGCAGGAAATAATCAATAAACACTTAAACTTTAATGAATAGCAGCGTCTTAGGATATGATGGTAGAATATGTTGCTGAATACAAATGTAGCTCACATGATACAGTAATCCCTTTTCAGAGCTGAGTACGAAAATAAAATACAACTACACGGTATAATTTTCATAATTTATATCAAGCTTCAGAAGTTATCAAGCTTCCCGTGTTTGATTTTTGTTCCCTTCATTATTCTGTTCAGACAATCAGTATTCAAATGGGCCTGACAATATCCGCTCGCTATCAAACATTACAGAATGAACAGCAGGATTCCGGCTGGTCGTGTTTATTCATACACAGGGGCAAACGTAACAGTAGCAGTAGAGGCTGGGCTAATGAAGCTATTGAGAGCCATCTTACTTCATGAGTATTTTATAACATTAGACTCAGACAGAACCAGGACATAGCTGATAAAAATGAATGATTGAAGCCTCACATGTGAGGTGAAAAATCAATTGATACATCAGTGATTCAATATGGCCCCTCAGAAATGTGATTACTCCCATCATTTACATGTAACCCGATCTGGGTCTGTACAATGTTGCATATGTAATCCTGGAAAAAAAAACACCTGACAGAAAGTAGAGCATGCTTTTTTTCATGATAAACAGGCATGGGATTTTAATATGTAAAAGAACTAGAAAGACCAGTTGGCAATCTGTAATTATTTGCAGAAAAATCTACATTTTCAAATCTACAACAGTACTACATCTAAATTCTCCTTGTTCTCTTCATTGCGACTAGATATTTTACAAATTTGTAATCCAGCAGTTGCTATGAAGTCATGACTAAGAAATTAAATCTCCAAGCAGATGTTTTGGTGGCCGCAAAAGACAGTATCAAATTGCCCAGACAGTATTCATTCATTGGCTGATGGATATTGCCTGGCAAATTTGATACTGTCTTGGAGATTATAAGAAATTGAAGTGTTTCATTGCCACTATCAAAACTGGACCCCCCCAGTGAGTGCACTTAAGTTTGAATGAGCTTGCCAAGACAGGCAAGCCTCCCAGTGGAGTAGAGTAAATGGAGGTGTGAGTTGGTGTGCCTGTGTCTGCTGCTGGCTGAGTGACAGAGAGTCAGCCTGTGATCACCAATGTCAGGCGAGATGTCAAAATTCTAACCACCTCCACAGGACTGGGTCAAACAGTTGACGACTCAATTAACTTGTTTTCCTTTCAGGGTTCCCTGAAGAGTATACACTTTTCTCCGAGGTCATGTTGGGTGATTTTAGAGAGGTTTTCCCAGGCCCAAGTAAGCCAAGTTCAAGGCTGAGGCCAGGTGGGGTTTGGTTAGGTAGTTAATCCTGGTTTCAGCAATGGAAAGCGGAGGAAGGAGGCACATCTTCCAAGTTGAAAATTTCTGTGTGTCGATAGTATGCAATTTAACTGAAAATACGGCTTGCAAGTAATATTGCAGTCAAGTTGGATGTGACCTTCAACAAACTATGTGCTTACCATCCCAACTCCTATTCTTTAAATTGCAATAAACCCATTTGAGGGACGTGCAATCTGCGATGTACTCATGCAGAACTGCCAGGTCCAACATCAGCCTTGGTCAATGGCAGTCTGTGAAATTCAGTAATGGCTGGATTCTACTTCAGTCTTCTCTGTTGAAGAATGTAAAAGCACTAGCATGCAGAATTTTCTCCCAACATTTTACTTTGCTACATATAATCTATAAATCTATAATGGGCCAAATCTTGCATTATATGAAACTGCCACTGATCATGGCTTTATGATGCTGTATCCTCATAAAAATAACATCACAGTTTCAACAGATTTTGCCGCAAGCCTGCAACAACGTTTTATCTGACTCTTTCAGACAAAAAATTGTATCTCCATAATGTCACAATGCTGTCATTTGCAACCAACCTTATAACTGAACTATCATGGGCTTTTATGTTGAGTATTGTAGAAGCCTGTAACAAAACAGTTATTTCCTTGAGCCTCAAGGAGACAGCTGGGTCATAGATGTCACAAGGGGTGGAT